GCGGGGGAACCCTCCCGTCGGCCTCACGCAGCTCCAGGCTCGTGTCACGCAGCGCCTCTGAAAAGCCAGGCACCGCGGGACTTTGGGATGGCTCTGGCTCGTGCTGTCGCCATCCACCTGATCCGCTCTTGCCCTCCCTGGGATGGGGGAAAAGGAAGCATTCAAAGCGCGCTCATCGCCCCGGCGGTGTTCCCAAAAGGAATGCGTTTCCCACGCTGGACTGCTACCAAGGAGGCAGAGGCTTGCGTCGTGCCTGAGGGATGCAGCTGATGCCCTGACGGTCTCAGGCTGGATTGACAGGAAGCAAAAGGCCGAACTTGAGGCTCCTTCTGAGGCTGCTGCAGCGACTTGAGCTGCTCGCAGGCAGACGCTGGTCACGGGGGGTTGTCCCAGGTCACAGCCCTGGCTGGAGAAGTTGAGCCTTCGTTATGGCGCAGCCTGTTTGCATTAACTACGGAACGTTCGTGTTCTGCTTTCTCAGTATGTTCAATGGTATCTGCCACTCCTGAAGTCTTAGGGGCTTCGTGCATTCAGCGTCCAGGTCGGCTCTAGTGCCGGGCTTGGACAGGCCCTTGCTGCCCTTTTTGGGACAAGCAGTTCAGTAGGGCATCCCATGCTGCCACGGGTGGCTGCGCGTGAGCCAGGACATCTCAGACACGAAACCCCTCTGTTTCAGACTTATTCCAGCTGACTAAAATGCTCTGAGATGTGTTTTTGCCTGGAGAAATTGGCAGCGTGTGTATTTACTTGTATTATAAAATGTTCGTTTTAAACATACATGCTCCAGACTGTTTAATATTTTATTTTTTTTTTTGCAGCAACTGTTACGGCAAACAACTTCCACAACTGGAAAAAAAAAACCACAACCCTTAGCACTTGCTTTTATGGTTCAAATTTGCCAAATAAGTCTCGTAACTTTGTCAGTGCTATCCAGTTATCTGTTTCTTTATATCTGCATTGAATATCGTATGCATTTGTGCCAAAATATTAGAAGGGGGAGGGGAGAAAGTGATAATCAGTTTCCTATGGAAATCTTTTTTTTTTCTCTTCTTTTTTTTTAAAATATACAAAGGACAAACACACGAGGTAGATCTGGCTCGGGGAAGGACAGACTCGGATGGACTTTTCAATGGTTTGTGTTAAGGCTTTAGTCCTGCAGATCTGTGTGCTCCCAGATGGGAACGCGAGCGGCCCCGCGGAGCTCGCTGGAAGTTCTCCTGCGCTGAGGTTTGCCGAGCGCCCTGCTCCCACCACGGGCTGCTGACTCCTGACGGCATTTCACGCCCCACCGGGAATGTCCAGGTACCTGCTGCCTGCAGAGAGAGGCTTTTCCGAGGTGCTTGTTCCTTTGAGACCGCTCTGTTCACCAGCCCCACCACCTGCTTGGCAAAAAAACCCACCGTTTTCGGGCCCGAGGCATCGGCCAGACGGGGTACGAGGCGCCCCTCGTTCGGCGGACGCGGGAGCAGATGACGTTTGCTTCACCAGGCGAAGGAAGGGATGCTTTGGGCAGTTTTCTTCCAGAAACCAGAAGTGACATTTTGTACGTAAAATGTCAATCCCGAGGAAGACTTTCAGGGGTGGGCGTGCTCCTGGACGATCCAGGCGCTTTTGAAGATCCTCTCGCAGAATTTTGACTGGAGCTTTTGCTGTGCAACGCGGCTTGTACCGTAGCGCTGGAGGTTTTCTAGGGGGTTTAATTTTTATTTTATTTTATTTTTTTAAGTTTTTGCAATGTGTCTCGTTTTAGTTAATCCTCTGGTTGCATGGACTGGTGCAACAAGAGCGTCTGTATAAAATAGTATTTTCTAGCCACCTAAAAAGTAGGTCTGTCATTGTGGCTTGATTGGGCATATGCTTGCAGATACAGGTTTCTAACGTAGTTGCCGACAAAAATTTATCCTGACTTTTGTGGAAGTATTTGACTTGCTGTTTTAGCGAGAGAGGGGGGAAAAAAACCTGCCGCGTCCAACGGCCCCAGGTTTCCTCCCTGAGTGTCTTTAAGTCGTGTTTGCTTATTTTAGCGAACAAACTGTTTTCGTTGTCCACGTAGTCCTGGAGGAAGTCGGACTCTGTGGCGCCTCGTGCGTGATGGCGTCTTCAGCGCCAGTGTCGGGGCGCTCGTTGGCGTGACGGCGCGGGCAGGAGCCCAGCCTGAGCCCGAGGCTGCGAGCTGCAATAAACCCCAGCTTCATTCGAAGCCTGCAGACGGGGTCGCCTCCTCAGCCAAACCAAGAATTGGACCTGGATTTCCACCAAGAACCAGATTAGTCTCTTCTGTCTGATAAAGGGTAATTAATTGCTAATAGATGCCTTTTGAAAAAGAGGATGCAGATGATGCATCAAAACTTTGGTTAATCTCATCTCATCATCCCTTCAGTAAAATGACTTCAAGTGGGAAAGGGAAGCTGGTCCAGCGGTACAGCTCGCTAAAATGGAGAAGATTATCTCCACTCAAGTATTAATTTCCTCCCCTCCCCTTTGTTTGCCTTCTCAGTAATTCATAAAAGCTTCATGGTGCCTGAAGTTCCCTTATAAAGTCAAATGGAAAGTCCTGTACCGTGCAACAAGCGGAAAGATAAAGCCTGGGGACGGGCTGCGACCCGAGGGACGTTACGGCCGAGCTTCCCTTCGCGTTGGGCGGCCGGAGGGGACGGAGGAGAGGAAAGGCAGCTCCCCCGGCGGCGGCGGCGTGCCGTTGGGGTGGACACTAGCGAAAGGGAAGCGGCAGCGTTGGGCTGGAGGTGGTTGTAGGCAGCGGTGCCCCAGGGCTGCGCGTGGCTGCTGCTTGGGTTTACTTCTTTTTTTTTCCTAAAACTTTAATAAAGTAGCTTCGAGGTGTAGCACGAATGTACGCGATCAGCCCAGCCCTAGCTTAGATTACACACCCGTGCTGGAATAGCTTCCCGTTTCATGGTAGTCTTGGCTCGTTTTACCAGGATTTCGTACATTTTTGTTACTAGTAGAGAGTCACTAGCAGGAACTTTGACTCTTTTTAATCGGTGTAGCCGTACACAAGGGCCTGGCTGCTGGCAGATGATACTGATGGCCTTGTGGTTTTAAATGACTGTGGTGATTTTTTTTTTTTTTCTTTTTTGTAATTATTATTATTAATGTATTGAACTGAATTGCAGTTTGTATTTTGTGTTAAGCTTGTCTTAGAAGTAATCCAGTGCTGTCCATTTGATTTAATCGCCAGGAACCAGCAGGCGTACGTACAAAGATGGAGCAATCTCATCGTAGCAAATTCCCCAAAGCTCTGCCTGCCCGTACGTGCCACGAAAAGGCTGGGGGTGACCTTGGAGAAAGCGTTAGACAAATTAGTTTCCTCTCCCCTTAAGGACCAGCGTAGTTTGAACCCTGCAGAGGGCTCCTTTGCAGGGTGAAGAATACTCAGGACTCCCTCTCACGCGGCGAGTCTTGACATCCGTGCCTTGTGCTCCTCGCTAACTGGAAAAGCACGAGGAGCAGGAAGAGCGCAGCTCAGTGAGGGGCTTGAGCCGTATCACAAACGTCTGTGAGCTTTCCTAGCTCTGAGGTACTGCATAGGTAGGAGGAACGGCATTTCTCTACAAATAAGCTGGGAAGCCAGAATGAGAAGTAATTAGTCACTATATAGTAGTTGGTTGAGCGGTATGGTTAAGAAATTCAGTATATGGGTTTTATTATGTACGTGCTTTTGTATTTATGTGGTCTTTCCTGAATATTCAGATGAATCAAATATTTAATTTTTAACAGAAAGGGCAATTAAGGATTCCGAGTATTAAATCTTCCGTACGTTCCTTTCTGGTGATGGCTGGAAATGAGGCAGTTGCTGAGGTGAGAACAAGAGACTCAGCTCAGCACTGAGCCACAAACCCCGGTGAAGGAAACAGAACCAGGACTGAGCCACAAACCCCGGTGAAGGAAACAGAACCAGGACTTCAGCCGCAGGAGCCTCTGCCCCGGTTTTGCCTTTTAGCACCAAGCGAGGCTCCCGGGCGGGCCCTTGCACTGCGCTCTCCGGCTGCCGGAGGCTCCGAAAAGCCGGCCCCTCCACAAACGCTTCGGTTCGTCGTACGTTTCCGCCAGACCCCAGCGGGCTCCGCACCAGGCTCTGCTGCGGAGCTGCCCCGAGTTCCTGCCCCCGCGGGAGGCAGCTGCTGTTTCACCCTGGCCTGACGTGTTCCCCCTTGGGGAGATCCGCACGAGCATGTTTGCGTTAGTGTTTAGGTCTTCTTAACCTGAGGTGGTGTGTCAATGACCGGTGATGTCACTGCCTGCTTTAGCTTGTTAAGCGTTATTCACCTATTTTGTTACTAAAGGCCTGTACTATGTATGCCCTCTTATTTCATACGTGAAACTGTAAGTTCTATTTTTGACATTTTAATAAACTTTGATTTGAAAGCGGAGGCTCGTGAGAAAGTAAGGATGTGGTAAAAATGTAGTGAAAGCATTTGGGGGGTTGGAACCCCGAGATCATTCAGAGACAGCAGCATCTTCAGCTGGGTACAGTGAAGGTTGTTCCCGGTAATTCGCACGAGATCTGTTACAGGCAAGATCTTCATCCTTTTTGCAGTTCGGAGAGTTTTGTTCGAGAAGTGAAAGCCAGATATAAAAAATAATGTAAAAATTGCAACTAGTTCCGCTAACTACCGGGACTCGAAGGTGAGTAGAAGTGGAGGGCAGCGGCTCAAGGGATTTATTGTCAAAGTGCTGGAACAGTCAGAGGTAGCTACACGCTCGCTCTGCCTGGCGCCCCAAACCGTCACTGTGCTTTCACCTGGTGGCCGTGTGGTAGGAAAGCCCCTTACCCCGAAGCGTAGGAGCAGCGTTGGCTGCTTC